CGCCGCCAGTGCTGCTGCCCCCAGCCCGGCCGCCCCATCCATCCCCTGGGGCCGGAACCTGCGCCCCTTCCCCGCTCCCGGGGTGCCGATACGTCGGGGGGTGCTGGGGGCTTGGGTGCCCTGCGCTGCCCGGGGTGCAGACCCGGGGGGGGGGACACCCTTAGCGACCCCCCTCTGTCTTGTTTTGGGACCAGCAGCCAGTGACCAGTGATGATATTGGTGCTGTGAGATGAGGGGTTCATGTGAAACGTGTGATGGCCCTTCTGGCTGCTGCCCCCAGCAGCCATCTCTGCTGTCCCCTGCCCTGGCATGGCCTGTGCTGCGTCCTGCTTGGAAAAGAGAATTGAGGGCTGTGGACCAAAGGATGCTCTTCCTGAGTCCTGACCTCTTTGAGGGCTTCATTTGCAGGATAAGGTGTGGTGCTTGTAGCAAAGGTCCTCGTTGCGGTTCCCTTATGGGAAAAGCTGCCCCTTGTGCAGGTGAGAGGCCGCATCCACCTGCCACCGTGGCTGGTGGGAGATGCTGGAGGACATGAGCATGGTACATGGTGGGGATTTATCGTTCCCTGTGAGTTAGAGCCAGGCTGTGGTGCCGGGAGGGCTCGTGTAGCTCCACAGCCGAGCTGGGGATCGCTGGGGAAGCGTTGTGTTCTGTGGGCGTCCGGACGTTTCCTCGGCTCTGGCTGCTGAGGGGTGGTGGGTTAAGCTCTGCCGCGGCAGACGGCGACAGATGCTGGTGGGATGGTGGGGCAGGGAGCAGCCTCTGCCTGCGGGATTAGCTGGGAGCGGGGCTGGCTGGGAGCACGAGGAGCCCTGCTTTGCTGGGGGGGGAGGCTTGTGCCCATCCTGGGGTACCATGTCCCCCAAGCCCACATGGCCAGGAAATCAGATGTTCGGAAGAGAGATGGTGCTTGGTCGGGCTCCAGGTGAACTTCTACTCAACTTTCTCTATGGAAAGAGAGAAGCTCCAGGAGCTCTCAGCAAACCATCTGCTGCTCGGGCTGAGCGAAGCCGGCAGCCAAGGCTGCGTGGGAGCGGGCACGGCGTGTATCGGAGCAGCTCCGCGTCCTGCCCACGCAGCTGCGGGTTTGCCAGCGCTCCAGGGCGCTGTGCCGCAGGCAGCCTCGCGGCAGAGGGGTGCCTGGCTGTGGACCCCATCCTCACCAAGAGCTGGCCAGGAACGGGTCGGGCATCGCTGTAGCCGGCTGGATGCTGCAAGTCAGATGGTGCCAGTGAGGTTTTTCTCTGCTTTAATGGCAGACTCGTGTTACTTCTTCTTTGTCCCATCCTTACGGGGGCAGCTGGACATCGTGGCATGGTAAAGGCCACGTGAGGAGGTGTTCTGGGTCTTCAGTTGGCTTTTGAATGGTTTTCTGCAGCCCAAAGGGAGCCAGCCTAGAAGAAGGTGAGGATTGAAGGTGATGCTGCTGGCTACACTAGCAGGCTGCCTCTGGACCAGCTTCTGCACAGCTCCAGTGGGAAAGGCCACAGCTGAGCACGGGCATCGAGCCTGTCCCCAGTGCCCCAGTTGCTGTCCTGGCATTTGGCAGTGCACGGACGCCCACCAGCCAGGTGGATTAGCTCCGGCGTAGGGAATATACAGGTGGGGTCGGCCAGCCGCTGGGGTGGAGCAGGGCCTGGGAGCACCAGCCCTCCCTGTGCCCAGTGCGTAGGAGCCGTGTGTTTTCCCTCCCAGGGGCAGCCATGGGCAAGCACAGCAGCAAGCTGGCGCCGGAGATGCTGGATGACCTGGTGAGGAGCACAGAGTTCAGCGAGCAGGAGCTGAAGCAGTGGTACAAGGGCTTCCTCAAGGACTGTCCCACTGGCATCCTCAACCTGGAGGAATTCCAGCAGCTCTACATCAAGGTGGGTTCCAGCTGGGGGCCCAAGCACTGCCTGTAGGGCTGGAGCACCCTGCTCCCACCGGGGCAAGGGTGCTGCTTTGGGTGCAGCCTCTGCACTGAGCTCCTTCTCCCCACTTTTATCTCTCCTCTCTCCTCCCTGCAGTTCTTCCCCTACGGAGATGCCTCCAAGTTTGCTCAGCACGCTTTCCGCACCTTTGACAAGAATGGTGACGGAACTATCGACTTCAGGGAGTTCATCTGTGCCCTGTCTGTCACCTCCAGGGGCACCTTTGAGCAGAAACTCAACTGGGCCTTTGAGATGTATGACCTGGACGGGGATGGGAAGATCACACGCTTGGAGATGCTGGAGATCATTGAGGTACCGGTGCTTAAAATCAGGAGGGGTAATGGTTTTTGCAGACTTTTCACATCTATTGGGTCCCTTTTTGGCACCAAAAAATGGGTTTCCCTGCCCAGAGCCTTGTTTGAAAGGTACCTGATTGTAGCTGTACAGCAGCATAACGTGTACCAGCAGCTAACTGGGTTCTAGCAGAGCAGCAGTCCTGTCCCCTGCCTTGTCCTGGGACCTTCTGCCCATCCAACATTCTCGCTCTAGTACTTTGCTTCTCTTCTTGCTCCAGGCCATTTACAAGATGGTGGGGACTGTGATCATGATGAGGATGAACCAAGATGGGCTGACACCCCAGCAGCGTGTTGACAAGATCTTCACAAAGATGGACAAAGACAAGGATGACCAGATCTCCCTGGAGGAGTTCAAGGAGGCAGCGAAGAGCGACCCCTCCATCGTCCTCCTCCTGCAGTGTGACATGCAGAAATAGAGCCCTGGGGGCTCGTCGCTGGACTGGCTGCAGCCAACCTCTGCTCCCTGTGTTGGTTTCCATCCCTGTTTTCTGCTGAGTCCCCCCTGTACCCGCTTGGCCCCAGGTGTGAGCCACGCTCCGTCCCTCCTGCCACCCATCCGCCTCCGCTCCCGGCTGTGTCCTGGGCAGCCCGCAGTCCATGGGCTGTAGTTCTCCCTCGATGGGCAGAGTCTCCTCTGGGTATTGCGCGCTTGAGGTTACCCCCAAATCAGCCCTCTCCCATCCTGGAGCTGGACTCCCGGCAGCTGATGGCGAGTGTCCTTGTTCCTCAGGGCCAGCTGCTCCCATGTCCCTGCTGCTTCCTCCCTGCTTTCCCCCACTGCTCTGGCCCATTCCCTGATCCTAACTGAAACCAGCTCTTTCCCCTTTCTGCTCATCTCCCGTCATTGCTTGTGGTGCCTCCAGGGAGGCTCAGAAGTCCCAAGTCCTGGCCCTGGTCTCTCCTTCACTGGCAATTCCCTGCAGGGTGCTGCACGCTCCCTGCCTTGGCTCCCTCTGCCCAGCTTTAGCTTTTCCATCTCTGCTTTTGCTGCTGGAATGGCCAGGGTTGCTCAGGGCACTTCAGGGGAGAGCAGAAGTGTCCAAGGCCACCCCTGGATGCGGCCATTGTCTGATCCCAGAAGCCACCTTCTACCGCATTACCTATGTGAGCTGGCAAAGCGAGTAGGTGACCTCCACAACTGCCCCCGTAGCATCTTGGATGCTTTGTGGAGTTTCTGGCTTTCCTGGGTCTTGAGGTGATGCCTGGGGTCCCAAATCGAAGGTGTGGGCTGCCCTGGGGCAAGGTCAGGAGTACGGGTGTTGAAGGCATGTCCTGGTGCTGCTCCTGGTGTGTGGCACTACTGTGGGGACTGGTGGGTCCTGGGTTGGGGGTGTGGAGAGGTATGGATGGGTCCTGTACCTGCTGAGCCTCCTGGAAGGCCTCTGAGGCCACAAGAAACATGTCTGTCTCCTTCCTCCCCCCCATCCCAGCCTGCTGCATCCATCCCTCCTGCCCCAGGACAGGAGTATTGTCACAGATTGGTATGTAGTCTGCACGTTGTGGTGTTGATGACTGTAATATCTGTTAGGAGATGGTGAAGTTGTTATCTATTTTTTTAATGGAAAAATAAATGGTCCCCCATGTGTGGTGTTCCCCCCAAATGGCTTATTGGGGGCAGCTGGCTGCTGCAGCTATGGGGAGAGTGAGATGACAATACTGCAATCCTGAGCATCATTTTCGGGTCTCATCTGAGCCTGTGACACTCCAAGGGGACAGCACAGTGGGGCTCAGCCTGGGGAGCCTTGAAGATGGGTGAAGGTGTAACACCTCAGCCATGCAGGTAGCTTTGGGGGAGAGAATGTTGTCTCTTGGGGCTGGGTAGGACCAGACATCCCCAGTCTGTGCTGGAAATAGGTTTCATTTGTCAACCAAGGGCTGGACCCTGGCTGTCCCTTTCATTCAGGGCTGGGCACAGCCAGAGGACCTGGTGGCTTGGTCCCAGGCTCCATCAGCAACTGGGACCAACTATCACTGTATCTTTGTCCTTCTTCTCAGCCTCCTCTTCTCCAACCCCATCTTTCCTGCACGTATTTTCCTCTGGTCTTCCTTCTCCATCAGCAGCCTGCAGAGACCTTGCCTGTTGCTAAGGAGCTCTCACCGACTTTGAATACTTCTCTGTAGTTAACCGTGCAGGGCTGGCTCCCGGTGCCACTCACCCCGTCCTGCCTGGCTCCAGTGTGCAGGGAGGTGCGTGGCTCGGCTTCCACCCTGCAAATCGCCAGCATCTCGTCCGTCCTGCAGCAGCCAGCACCTGAGCGTAGAGATGGGAGGATGCCAAAACCTGAGCGGGTATTGTTGGGAGTGCTGTCGAGGGAGAGCTCTCTGCACTTTGGGTTTGGCTGCTGTGCTCACCTGGGCTGTCTGGGACTGTACCTGTGCGTTTGCAGCTCAGCGGTGCCTGGGGAAGGAGGGACATATGGGGCAGGTTGTCCCCACTGTGTGGGAGCCCGGGGATGTGCCAGGGCTGCTGTCTGACAGGGCAGTAACTCAAGCTCGAGAAGGGACTCGGAATAGCCTCGGTGAACCCAGGGCACTCAAAGCTCCTGCTTCCCTTGGGGCCACCCCAAAGGAAGGTTGGGTATTTCCCAGGAGGGACCAGTAGAGGCCCTGGGGAAAGGGTGTCTTTGAGGCTGAAATGGTATTAAACTCCCAGAAGGGCATCCCAAAGGGTTTGGGGTCCAGGTAGCCTGGTGAGCCCTGCAGCCAGCCCTGTTCCACCAGCGCCTGGCTCTGCTCTCCTGATTGAACCTCAGTGCAAGTGAGGGTGCGTTTGATCAGTCTCCCGGGCAGGGACATGAGCGTCCACAAGATTGCGGTCTGTAGGAAGGGTTGGTGTTTCTCACAGTTTTGGGCAAAACCCCTTTTCTGGCCCAGGTGCTGGGGCTCTGCGACCTCCTCCCAGGTGCTGCCCTGTGCCAGGTGAGACGAGGTGGGATCCTCCATCACTTGGCCCTTCCTGCCTGCTGAGTTTTGGTCTCTGGGGCACAGTCCCCGCTCCCCGAGGGCCTCTGGGAGTCTGCTGGTCACGCTGCAGTTTTCAATCCGAGCTGAAAGCTGGATGCTATGCACAGCTCTGGCTTGACTCAATCCCACCAGCACTTGTGGGAGAATGTGTAGTGAAGAGCCTTAATTAATATCCGTGTTCACTCCATTAACTAGCTCACAGTGCATGCCTGTGACCCACCACGCAGCCAAAAGTGGCTGTGGCTGCTCCTTCCCCTCCAGCTCCCGGTTGCTGACCACCCTTGTGCCCTTCCAGCCACCCGGTCCCCTGCCACGGGTGCCACTCTCCGCTCTGCGAGGATGGGCAAACCCCAGCCACCCCTGATGCTCTTGTGCTGCAACACTCCATTAACTAGCTCACAGTGCATGCCTGTGACCCACCACGCAGCCAAAAGTGGCTGTGGCTGCTCCTTCCCCTCCAGCTCCCGGTTGCTGACCACCCTTGTGCCCTTCCAGCCACCCGGTCCCCTGCCACGGGTGCCACTCTCCGCTCTGCGAGGATGGGCAAACCCCAGCCACCCCTGATGCTCTTGTGCTGCAAGTGAGCTGCTGTCTCCCGTGGGTGCCCACTCGCCCACTCCCGTGTGCTCCCCGGGCTCTCTGCTGATGGCACCTTTCTCCCCCAGCCCTTTCCTTCGCCC